CTAGTGACAGTGACTAAGTTCAGTGCAGGGTACTGGGTGGAGGCCGGCTAGTGACAGTGACTAAGTTCAGTGCAGGGTACTGGGTGGAGGCCGGCTAGTGACAGTGACTAAGTCCAGTGCAGGGTACTGGGTGGAGGCCGGCTAGTGACAGTGACTAAGTTCAGTGCAGGGTACTGGGTGGAGGCCTGCTAGTAACAGTGATTAAGTTCAGTGCAGGGTACTGGGTGGAGGCCGGCTAGTGACAGTGACTAAGTTCAGTGCAGGGTACTGGGTGGAGGCCGGCTAGTGACAGTGACTAAGTTCAGTGCAGGGTACTGGGTGGAGGCCTGCTAGTAACAGTGACTAAGTTCAGTGCTGGGTACTGGGTGGAGGCCGGCTAGTGACAGTGACTAAGTTCAGTGCAGGGTACTGGGTGGAGGCCGGCTAGTGACAGTGACTAAGTTCAGTGCAGGGTACTGGGTGGAGGCCTGCTAGTAACAGTGACTAAGTTCAGTGCTGGGTACTGGGTGGAGGCCGGCTAGTGACAGTGACTAAGTTCAGGGCAGGGTACTGGGTGGAGGCCGGCTAGCGACAGTGACTAAGTTCAGTGCAGGGTACTGGGTGGAGGCCGGCTAGCGACAGTGACTAAGTTCAGGGCAGGGTACTGGGTGGAGGCCGGCTAGTGACAGTGACTAAGTTCAGGGCAGGGTACTGGGTGGAGGCCGGCTAGCGACAGTGACTAAGTTCAGTGCAGGGTACTGGGTGGAGGCCGGCTAGTGACAGTGACTAAGTTCAGGGCAGGGTACTGGGTGGAGGCCGGCTAGTGACAGTGACTAAGTTCAGGACAGGGTACTGGGTGGAGGCCGGCTAGTGACAGTGACTAAGTTCAGGACAGGGTACTGGGTGGAGGCCGGCTAGCGACAGTGACTAAGTTCAGTGCAGGGTACTGGGTGGAGGCCGGCTAGTGACAGTGACTAAGTTCAGGGCAGGGTACTGGGTGGAGGCCGGCTAGCGACAGTGACTAAGTTCAGGGCAGGGTACTGGGTGGAGGCCGGCTAGTGACAGTGACTAAGTTCAGGACAGGGTACTGGGTGGAGGCCGGCTAGTGACAGTGACTAAGTTCAGGACAGGGTACTGGGTGGAGGTTCAGGGCAGGGTACTGGGTGGAGGTTCAGGACAGGGTACTGGGTGGAGGTTCAGGACAGGGTACTGGGTGGAGGTTCAGGACAGGGTACTGGGTGGAGGTTCAGGACAGGGTACTGGGTGGAGGCCGGCTAGTGACAGTGACTAAGTTCAGGGCAGGGTACTGGGTGGAGGCCGGCTAGTGACAGTGACTAAGTTCAGGGCAGGGTACTGGGTGGAGGCCGGCTAGCGACAGTGACTAAGTTCAGTGCAGGGTACTGGGTGGAGGCCGGCTAGTGACAGTGACTAAGTTCAGGGCAGGGTACTGGGTGGAGGCCGGCTAGTGACAGTGACTAAGTTCAGGACAGGGTACTGGGTGGAGGCCGGCTAGTGACAGTGACTAAGTTCAGGACAGGGTACTGGGTGGAGGCCGGCTAGCGACAGTGACTAAGTTCAGTGCAGGGTACTGGGTGGAGGCCGGCTAGTGACAGTGACTAAGTTCAGGGCAGGGTACTGGGTGGAGGCCGGCTAGCGACAGTGACTAAGTTCAGGACAGGGTACTGGGTGGAGGCCGGCTAGTGACAGTGACTAAGTTCAGGACAGGGTACTGGGTGGAGGTTCAGGGCAGGGTACTGGGTGGAGGTTCAGGACAGGGTACTGGGTGGAGGTTCAGTGCAGGGTACTGGGTGGAGGTTCAGGACAGGGTACTGGGTGGAGGTTCAGTGCAGGGTACTGGGTGGAGGTTCAGGACAGGGTACTGGGTGGAGGCCGGCTAGTGACAGTGACTAAGGTTCAGGACAGGGTATTGGGTGGAGGTTCAGGGCAGGGTACTGGGTGGAGGTTCAGGGCAGGGTACTGGGTGGAGGTTCAGGGCAGGGTACTGGGTGGAGGTTCAGGACAGGGTACTGGGTGGAGGTTCAGGACAGGGTACTGGGTGAAGGTTCAGGGCAGGGTACTGGGTGGAGGTTCAGGACAGGGTACTGGGTGGAGGTTCAGGACAGGGTACTGGGTGGAGGTTCAGGGCAGGGTACTGGGTGGAGGTTCAGGGCAGGGTACTGGGTGGAGGTTCAGGACAGGGTACTGGGTGGAGGTTCAGGGCAGGGTACTGGGTGGAGGCCGGCTAGTGATGTCTATTTAACAGTCTGATGGCCTTGAGATAGAAGCTGTTTTTCAGTCTCTCGGTCCCAGCTTTGATGCACCTGTACTGACCTCGCCTTCTAGGTAACAGCCGGGTGAACATGCCGTGGATCGGGTGGCTGTAGGTGTCCTGGAGGAAAGGCAGTGTGCCTCCTGTGATGCGTTGGGCAGACCCAACCACTCTCTGGAGAGCCCTGTGGTTGCGGGCGGTGCAGTTGCCGTACCAGGCGGTGATAAAGCCAGACAGGATACTCTCAATTGTGCATCTGTAAAAGTCTGTGAGGGTTTTAGGTGCCAAGCCAAATTTCTTCAGCCTCCTGAGGTTGAAGAGGCTCTGTTGCACCTTCTTCACCACACTGTCTGCGTGGGTGGCCCATTTCAGATTGTCAGTGATGTGTACGCCAAGGAACTTGAAGCTTTCCACCTTCTCCACTGCGGTCCCGTCGATGTGGATAGGGGGGTGCACCCTCTGCTGTTTCCTGAAGTCCACGATCATCTCCTTTGTTTTGTTGATGTTGAATGAGAGGTTATTTTCCTGGCACCACACTCCCAGAGCCCTCACCTCCTCCCTGTAGGCGGTCTCAACATTGTTAGTAATCAGGCCTACTACTGTTGTGTCATCTGCAAACTTGATGATTGAGTTGGAGGCGTGCTTGGCCACGCAGTCATGGGTGAACAGGGAGTACAGGAGGGGGCTGAGCACGTACCCTTGTGGGGCCCCAGTGTTGAGGATCAGCGAAGTGGAGGTGTTGTTTCCTACCTTCACCACCTGGGGGGCGGCCCGTCAGGAAGTCCAGGACCCAGTTTCATAGGGCGGGGTTCAAACCCAGGGTCTCGAGCTTAATGATGAGCTTGGAGGGTTCTATGGTGTTGAAGGCTGAGCTGTAGTCGATGAACAGCATTCTGACGTAGGTATTCCTCTTGTCCAGATGGGATAGGGCAGTGTGCAGTGTGATGGTGATTGCATTGTCTGTGGATCTATTGGGGCGGTAAGCAAATTGAAGTGGGTCTAGGGTGACAGGTAAGGTAGAGGTGATATGATCCTTGACTAGTCTCTCAAAGCACTTCATGATGACAGAGGTGAGTGCTACGGGGCGATAGTCATTTAGTTCAGTTACCTTTGCTCTCTTGGGTACAGGAACAATGGTAGACATCTTGAAACAGAATGTTACAGTCCCCGATGTCTCTCTGGAAGGAGATCCTTGTCTACTTGTCCAGACACTATAGACACTACTAGACAATATGTCCATTCCACTGAAATGTCTTGTCCATTCCACTGAAATGTCTTGTCCATTCCACTGAAATGTCTTGTCCATTCCACTGAAATGTCTTGTCCATTCCACTGAAATGTCTTGTCCATTCCACTGCTTTTAAATCCTTCAGGGGAAGAAGGTGAAGCATTTCCCTCCTCGTAACACAAACACATAATAGGAAAGAAGTTGGACAAGAAATCTAATCCCAGTGATGACTTCCTTTCCAGAATCTTTTAATATTTGACAGAATGGTATTTTTACATCATGGTGTAAGACTATACAGTGTTGTACACCAAGGCAACATCATCATTATCAACATATAGTAATAATAATAATATAATGGCATATTATTATTATATTAACATATAGTACTCTGTATTGCTGATAACCAAGCATTTACCCTGCAGGGCAGTAAGGTAACACACTTGATTCAGATAATTATGGCTGACTCCAGGCTGACTGAAGACCCTGATTATTAGAATATGTGACTCAGGGCTGTATTAACCCAGTAGCTCTCTAGGACCCTTTGTTACATTTTAAAGATCACATACACTCCAAGATGGCAGCTGGAAGTCCTGTGTGGTCTGGGTGGATGCAGGCAGTAGGCTGGGGGAGAGAGGGACATCACTGCTGGGGTTAGGGCTGGGGGAGAGAGGGACATCACTGCTGGGGTTAGGGCTGGGGGAGAGAGGGACATCACTGCTGGGGTTAGGGCTGGGGGAGAGAGGGACATCACTGCTGGGGTTAGGGCTGGGGGAGAGAGGGACATCACTGCTGCTGGTCGGAGCTGGGGCTGGGGTTAGGGCTGGGGGAGAGAGGGACATCACTGCTGGGGTTAGGGCTGGGGTTAGGGCTGGGGTTAGGGCTGGGGGAGAGAGGGACATCACTGCTGGGGTTAGGGCTGGGGTTAGGGCTGGGGTTAGGGGTGGGGGAGAGAGGGACATCACTGCTGCTGGTCGGAGCTGGGACTGGGGTTAGGGCTGGGGGAGAGAGGGACATCACTGCTGGGGTTAGGGCTGGGGGAGAGAGGGACATCACTGCTGCTGGTCGGAGCTGGGACTGGGGTTAGGGCTGGGGGAGAGAGGGACATCACTGCTGCTGGTCGGAGCTGGGGCTGGGGTTAGGGCTGGGGGAGAGAGGGACATCACTGCTGCTGGTCGGAGCTGGGACTGGGGTTAGGGCTGGGGGAGAGAGGGACATCACTGCTGGGGTTAGGGCTGGGGTTAGGGCTGGGGCTGGGGTTAGGGCTGGGGGAGAGAGGGACATCACTGCTGCTGGTCGGAGCTGGGACTGGGGTTAGGGCTGGGGGAGAGAGGGACATCACTGCTGCTGGTCGGAGCTGGGGTTAGGGCTGGGGTTAGGGCTGGGGGAGAGAGGGACATCACTGCTGCTGGTCGGAGCTGGGACTGGGGTTAGGGCTGGGGGAGAGAGGGACATCACTGCTGCTGGTCGGAGCTGGGACTGGGGCTGAAGCTGGCGCTGGAGCTAGCAGAAGTACTGGGGCTGGGGTTAGGGCTGGGGTTTGGGGATAGGGCTGGGGTTAGGGCTGGGGCTGGGGTTAGGGCTGGGGCTGGGGTTAGGGCTGGGGATGGGGTTAGGGCTGGGGATGGGGTTAGGGCTGGGGATGGGGTTAGGGCTGGGGTTAGGGCTGGGGATGGGGTTAGGGCTGGGGATGGGGTTAGGGCTGGGGTTAGGGCTGGGGCTGGGGTTAGGGCTGGGGATGGGGTTAGGGCTGGGGTTAGGGCTGGGGATGGGGTTAGGAGCCACTATTGTAGGCGCTGGTGTCGCCTCTACAGGCACCACATGTGTAAATGTGGGCGGAACTAATATTACTGGTGTCTGGTTATCTACTTTGGTGGGGACCACTATGCGCTGCACTAGCAGCAGCAGTGACCGTGGATTCATCATGTCTAACGGGGGACAACTCTAAAATTGGGCCTGAAGTCAGCCTGGTGATCCCTGCTCCGTTCACGGCCTGGGACAGGGAGGAGGGCACCAGTGGTTCTGAGGCTGGGGTGGCGGGGGAGGCAGCTGCTAGTTTAACCTCTGTGGAGGAGGTGGAGGGGGGGTCAAGAGGAGAGGAGGGGGTGGCAGGTGCAGCAGCTATAGATATGGAGGCAGATGGACCCAGGTCTGCAGAGAAATCTAAAACAGCAGGCTTTAAGACTGAGGCAGCCATCACTGCTACCTCTGAGGCTGTCATAGCCTCACCTGTCCCCAGGGCTGGAGGGGAGGCTTCACCCGGGGTTGAGGCTATAGGTAGGCCTTGATCAGCCAGTCCAGGTGTCCCCTCCAGTGCCCCTGCAGCCTCGGCCTCCGCCGTGACCAGCTCAGCATTCTTCTTCTCCATCTCAGCCATGCGGCGCTGAACCATCCCGGGCATCAGGTTGACGTAGGTCCCCATCAGACGGTGGTTGGAGCGGATCAGCTTCCCGGCACAGCTGTCTGCACAGCGCTCCTGGAGGACAGGAGGATAAACACAGGTCATTCTAAACACCGTGTCGTGGTCCTTCTGGTCCATACAGTAACAACGGCTGACATCTAACAGAACAGCTCCCACAATCTTCTTATTGTCAATTTCTTTCAACCAATCATCGGTCATGTTGAGTCCCCTTCTCTATGAGCATGCTGAAAGTCTGTTGTTCATTTGTTTACAGAGAAATAGCATTGCATTTGGTCAAACCATTTTTTCCAACTGTTTTCTAAGAGCTGGAAGCAAGCTGATAGGTCTGCTGTTAGAACCAGTAAAGGCTGCTTTATCACTCTTGGGTAGCGGAATGACTTTGGCTTCCCTCCAGGCCTGAGGAAAAATACTTTCCTCTAGGCTCAGATTAAAGATATGACAGACAGGAGTGGCTATAGAGTCAGCTACCATCCTCAGTAGCTTTCCATCTAAGTTATCAATGCCAGGAGGTTTGTCATTTTTTATCGATAACATTAATTTTTCCTCCTATCCCACACTAACTTTACAAAATTCTAACTTTTCTTTCATTATTTGTTTTTTTTTTATGCATGAGTACGATGGCTCACTGTTCGTTGTTGGCATTTCCTGCCCAAGTTTGCCAATGAAGTAATCATTAAAATAACTGGCACCATCAAATGGTTTTGTGATGAATATCCATCGGATTCAATGAAAGGTGGAGTTGAATGAGTCTTTCTGCCCATAATTTCATTGAAAGTACTTTTTTTTCCATCATTCTTTAAATCATTGATCTTGGCTTCATAATACAGTTTCTTCTTCTTTTTGTTGAGTTTAGTCACATCATTTCTCTATTTGCAGTAAGTCAACCAGTCAGATGTGCAGCCAGACTTATTAGCCACTCCTTTTGCCCCGTCTCTTTCAACCAGACCGTTTTTCTATTCCTCATCAATCCATGGAGCCTTAACATTTAATATAACAGTTCTAACAGTCAGTTTCTTAACAGGTGCATGTTGATCAATAATTAGAAGAAGCAATTTCATAAATTCATCAAGTGCAGCGTCTGGATGTTCCTTATTAATCACATCAGACCAAAACATATTTTAACATCATCCACATAAGAGTCACAGCATAATCTTTTTTATGATCTCTTATACACTATTTTAGGCTCAGCTTTTGGAACTTTGTCTTTCCTGGATATAGCCACTATATTGTGATCACTGCATCCAATGGGTACGGATACAGCTTTAGAACAAAGTTCTACAGTATTAGTAAAAATGGGATCAATACATGTGGATGATCTTGTTCCTGTAGTGTTTGTAAACACCCTGGTAGGTTGATTAATAATCTGAACCAGATTCCAGGCACTGGTTACAGTGAGAAGCTTCCTCTTGAGCGGACAGCTTGATGAAAACCAGTAAATATTCAGGTCCCCAAGAAAGTAGACCTCTCTGTTTACATCACATACACTATCAAGCATTTCACACATATGATTTAGATACTGACTGTTAGCACCTGGTGGCCTATAGCAACACCCCAAAAGAAAAGGCTTTAGATGTGCCAAGTGAACCTGCAACCACAACACTTCCATAACACTTGACATAAGATATTCTCTAAGCATTACAGGGATAGAAAAAGTATTTGATCCCCTGCTGATTTTGTACGTTTGCCCACTGACATGATCAGTCTATAATTTTAATGGTAGGTTTATTTGAACAGTGAGAGTCAGAATAACAACAAAAAAATCTAGAAAAACGCATGTCAAAAATGTTATAAATTGATTTGCATTTTAATGAAATAACACATATGGAATCATGTAGTAACCAAAAAAGTGTTAAACAAATCAAAATATATTTTATATTTGAGATTCTTCAAAGTAGCCACCCTTTGCCTTGATGACAGCTTTGCACACTCTTGGCATTCTCTCAACCAGCTTCATGAGGTAGTCACCTGGAATGGCGCCTCAGGGCTCATAGAAATAGGCTACGTGGCCTGCGCTCCACGCTTTGGAGTCAGAACGTTGAATGTATGAATGGTGATGAAATATCATTAAGTCTGATTAAGACGAATGTACTTATGTAACAATGGATGTGGAAATTGCCTTTTACATTGTAGAACCAGTTTATTGTAATTGCCAGTTGAGTAATTGTCTGGTCCTGGGGGCCGAGTGGTTATATTACGCAGGTCTACCTGTTTGAGCTCCTGTTAGACAGACTCCATTTGGTTTCTCAAGGGGAGGCTGTTCAGCTTTGCCCTCTACCATCCGTTCAGATTGGACAGGTTCAGCCTGATACAGAGCCTATTGCCCGTGGATATTTGGTCAATATACTTGTATATTTTGTATGATATAGCGCTTTCATCATTGGATCACCAAGATCTGTAAATAAATCTACACTGAGCACGTCAACCTGCCTTGCCTTCTGAGGACATCAACCCGCCTTGCCTTCTGAGGACGTCAACCCGCCTTGCCTTCTGAGGACATCAACCCGCCTTGCCTTCTGACCCGCCTTGCCTTCTGAGGACGTCAACCCGCCTTGCCTTCTGAGGACGTCAACCCGCCTTGCCTTCTGAGGACATCAACCCGCCTTGCCTTCTGAGGACATCAACCCGCCTTGCCTTCTGAGGACATCAACCCGCCTTGCCTTCTGAGGACATCAACCCGCCTTGCCTTCTGAGGACATCAACCCGCCTTGCCTTCTGAGGACATCAACCCGCCTTGCCTTCTGAGGACATCAACCCGCCTTGCCTTCTGAGGACATCAACCCGCCTTGCCTTCTGAGGACATCAACCCGCCTTGCCTTCTGAGGACATCAACCCGCCTTGCCTTCTGAGGACATCAACCCGCCTTGCCTTCTGAGGACATCAACCCGCCTTGCCTTCTGAGGACATCAACCTGCCTTGCCTTTTGAGGACATCAACCCGCCTTGCCTTCTGAGGACATCAACCTGCCTTGCCTTTTGAGGACATCAACCCGCCTTGCCTTCTGACCCGCCTTGCCTTCTGAGGACATCAACCCGCCTTGCCTTCTGACCCGCCTTGCCTTCTGAGGACGTCAACCCGCCTTGCCTTCTGAGGACATCAACCCGCCTTGCCTTCTGAGGACATCAACCCGCCTTGCCTTCTGAGGACATCAACCCGCCTTGCCTTCTGAGGACATCAACCCGCCTTGCCTTCTGAGGACATCAACCCGCCTTGCCTTCTGAGGACATCAACCCGCCTTGCCTTCTGACCCGCCTTGCCTTCTGAGGACGTCAACCCGCCTTGCCTTCTGAGGACGTCAACCCGCCTTGCCTTCTGAGGACATCAACCCGCCTTGCCTTCTGAGGACATCAACCCGCCTTGCCTTCTGAGGACATCAACCCGCCTTGCCTTCTGAGGACATCAACCCGCCTTGCCTTCTGAGGACATCAACCCGCCTTGCCTTCTGAGGACATCAACCCGCCTTGCCTTCTGAGGACATCAACCCGCCTTGCCTTCTGAGGACATCAACCCGCCTTGCCTTCTGAGGACATCAACCCGCCTTGCCTTCTGAGGACATCAACCCGCCTTGCCTTCTGAGGACATCAACCCGCCTTGCCTTCTGAGGACATCAACCTGCCTTGCCTTCTGAGGACATCAACCCGCCTTGCCTTCTGAGCACGTAATCCTGCCTTTCATGCCCTTACGACTGCTACAAGGTCCCCATTTTACAATTACATCATCAGTTACATTGGCTAATCACAATGTGTTGTAGACTAAATAATGAAAAGGGCTGTCTGGTAGCCTCAATAAAAAGACAAAGATTTGTAGTTCAACAAGTATAGATTTGGACTTGTTTTGACTTGAGACTTGAACCTTAGAATGCACGACTTGGACTAGACTCGAGTCTTGACCCGTTCTACTTGGGACTCGACTTGAGACTCGGACCTTGAGACTTGGGACTTGCTTGTGACTCAAATAATATTGAATTGGTCCCACCTTGAGATCAACTAGATGATTGGTTGGTCCCTCCTCTGCCATGAAACTGATTGAGATCAATCAAATGATTGGCATGCAGACAGATGCAGTAAAATGTGAATAATGATCATTATGACAGATGATGAAGGCCTATTTTCAAATGAGGTATGAACTTGGTGATTGAGGGTATAAAAAATAGAAAATGTTCTTCAGACAAGGATATGCATGTATATGTATGTATGTATGTGTATGTTTAAAAAAATATATATATATAAAAATCATAATAATAGTCTGAGCTGTAGAAAGAGTCCAGAGTTCCCCTTGGAAATCCGAGTTGGATGACAGTTCAAAGCTCATTTTCCAGTCGGAGCTCGTTTTTTCCAGATTTCCCAGTTGTCTTGAACGCTCTGAAGTCAGAGATTTCCCAGCTCCCAGTTGTTTTGAATGCGGCATTGAAAATTATTATGACAATGTCTCTAGACACGTAAAATGACGTATAATTACATGAAATGCGTTTATAACATGTTTGTTTGTTTATAAAAAGGCCAAACATTTCCCAGACCCTAGGCCACAACAAATGTTTCCCATGTGTGCAACTTCTGTTAGTACTTTACTGCTTTATTATAAAGGTCTTTTTTTTCTTCATCCGGTACCCCACCTCACTTTTTGTTCCGGGACCACCCGTGTGTATGTGTACAGTGCATTCGGAAAGTATTGAGACCCATTCACCTTTTCCACATTTTGTTACATTACAGCCTTATTCAAAAAATAAATAAAGCAAAAATAGGTTTTTAGAAAATGTTTGCAAATGTATTTACAAATAAAATAAAAACCTTATTTACATAAGAATTCAGACCCTTTGCTATGAGACTCGAAATTGAGCTCAGGTGCATCCTGTTTCCATCAATCATCCTTGAGATGTTTCTACAACTTGATTGGAGTCCACCTGTGGTAAATTAAATTGATTGGACATGATTTGGAAAGGCACAAACCTGTCTATATAAGCTCCCACAGTTGACAGTGCATGTCAGAGCAAAAACCAAGCCATGAGGTCGAAGGAATTGTCTGTAGAGCTCCAAGACAGGATTGTGTCAAGGCACAGATCTGGGGAAAGGTACCAAAAAATGTCTGCAGCATTGAAGGTCCCCAAGAACACAGTGGCTTCCATCATTCTTAAATGGAAGAAGTTTGGAACCACCAAGACTCTTCCTAGAGCGGGCCGCCCGGCCAAACTGGGCAATCGGGGGAGAAGGGCCTTGGTCAGGGAGGTGACCAAGAACCCGATGGTCACTCTGACAGAGCTCTAGAGTTCCTCTGTGGAGATGGGAGAACCTTCCAGAAGGACAACCATCTCTGCAGCACTCCACCAATCAGGCCTTTATGGCAGAGTGGCCAGACAGAAGCCACTCCTCAGTAAAAGGCACAATAGCCCTCTTGGAGTTTGGAGTTTGCCAAAAGCCACCTAAAGGATTGTAGACGTCCACAAGTCTGGTTCATCCTTGGGAGCAATTTCCAAACGCCTGAAGGTACCACGTTCATCTGTACAAACAATAGTATGCAAGTATAAACACCATGGGACCACGCAGCAGTCATATCGCTCAGGAAGGAGACGCTTTCTGTCTCCTAGAGATGAACGTACTTTGGTGCAAAAAGTGCAAATCAATCCCAGAACAACAGCAAAGGACCTTGTGAAGATGCTGGAGGAAACAGGTACAAAAGTATCTATATCCACAGTAAAACGAGTCCTATATCGACATAACCTGAAAGGCCGCTCAGCAAGGAAGAAGCAACTGCTCCAAAACCACCATAAAAAAGCCAGGCTACGTTTTGCAACTGAACATGGGGACAAAGATTGTACTTTTTGGAGAAATGTCCTCTGGTCTGATGAAACAAAAATAGAACTGTTTGGCCATAATGACCATCGTTATGTTTGGAGGAAAAAGGGGGGTGCTTGCAAGCCGAAGAACACCATCCCAACCGTGAAGCACGGGGGTGGCAGCATCATGCTGTGGGGGTGATTTGCTGCAGGAGGGACTGGTGCACTTCACAAAATAGATGACATCATGAGGAAGGAAAATTATGTGGATATATTGAAGCAACATCTCAAGACATCAGTCAGGAAGTTACAGCTTGGTCGCAAATGGGTCTTCCAAATGGACAATGACCCCAAGCACACTTCCAAAGTTGTGGCAAAATGGCTTAAGGACAACAAAGTCAAGGTATTGGAGTGGCCATCACAAAGCCCTGACCTCAATCCTATAGAAAATTTGTGGGCAGAACTAAAAAAGCGTGTGCGAGCAAGGAGGCCTACAAACCTGACTCAGTTACACCAGCTCTGTCAGGAGGAATGGGCCAAAATTCAACCAACTTATTGTGGGAAGCTTGTGGAAGGCTACCCAAAACGTTTGACCCAAGTTAAACAATTGAAAGGCAATGCTACCAAATACTAATTGAGTGTATGTAAACTTCTGACCCACTGGGAATGTGATGAAATAAATAAAAGTTTAAATAAATCATTCTCTCTACTATTATTCTCCTGAGTGGCGCAGTGGTCTAAGGCACTGCATCGCAGTGCTAACTGTGCCACTAGAGATCCTGGTTCGAATCCAGGCTCTGTCGCAGCTGGCCGCGACCGGGAGACTCATGGGCGGCGCACAATTGGCCCAGCGTCGTCCAGGGTAGGGGAGGGAATGGCCGGCAGGGATGTAGCTCAGTTGATAGAGCATGGCGTTTGCAACGCCAGGGTTGTGGGTTCGTTTCCCACGGGGGTCAGTATAAAAAAATAAAAAATGTATTCACTAACTGTAAGTCGCTCTGGATAAGAGCGTCTGCTAAATGACTAAAATGTAAAATGTAAATGTAAATTCTGACATTTCACATTCTTAAAATGTGTCTCCTGAGTGGGGCAGTGGTCTAAGGCAGTGCTAACTGTGCCACTAGAGATCCTGGTTCGAATCAGATGTAGCTCAGTTGATAGAGCATGGTGTTTGCAACGCCAGGGTTGTGGGTTCGATTCCCACGGGGGGCCAGTATAAAAAAAATATATATATGTATTCACTAACTGTAAGTCGCTCTGGATAAGAGCGTCTGCTAAATGACTAAAATGTAAATGTAAAATAAAGTGGTTATCCTAACTGACCTAAAACAGGAAATTTTTACTAGGATTAAATGTCGGGAATTGTGAAAAACTGAGTTTAAATGTATTTGGCGAAGGTGTATGTAAACTTCCGACTTCAACTGTATGTATATATATTCAATAGACTACATAAGTCCTGGTATGGGTGGTCCTCTGTAGAGCACGGCGCTTGTAACGCCAAGGTAGTGGGTTCGATCCCCGGGACCACCCATACACAAAATGTATGCACGCATGACTGTAAGTCGCTTTGGATAAAAGCGTCTGCTAAATGGCATATTATTATAAGTCAGTACAAACTTTGAATGAGGAAACGATTAAGTAATTTTTATTTTTCCCTCTCACACCTAAAATAAATAGCACTACACCATTGGCTAAAGACATAGAGCCATGTCCCCTGAGGAGTGTCATCTCTCAAACACAAACCCACATAGAGCCATGTCCCCTGAGGAGTGTCATCTCTCAAACACAACCATGTAATGTCCCAGGCCATACCTCGTCCATGGTGAGACTTCTGTAGTTGAAGTTACTGGTGCATCTCCGGAAGCAGATCTCTGTCATACGGTTGTAGACCATCAGAAAGTCCCGTAGCTAAAACAACCAAAAGATAGGATCAACGCATCGCATGAACACAAAAAGCCTGGTCTTGGAGTCATATCATGGCTACATCTATAACGTGTCCGTTCAATAAAGCACGAATCGATGACATGGGATGAACTTACGTTTCGCATTTGTGCTTCGGGCTCCATGCTGTAACGTTATCTGTCAAATCGGCTAGTTAGCTAGCTAGCTTCCTAGCTTTGCAATGCGTTAGCGTTGAGTTGAACTGTCTTGCCAGCCTCTACGTTTGTATTGAACTGAAAAGACGCCTCCACGCGATGTGCAGTTCATGTATGAATACGTAAAAACGTATAATAGTTTCAATGAAGAGAACATACGACCAAAAATAATCACATTCATATGACAGAACAGAGCAGCATGACTTTCAGGTCAGTGCTATTTGGGATTCTTAGGACGTTCCTTAGTCTTCTTCTTCTTCGATGAGGTTTAACGGCGGTTGGCGTCCAATAAATATTGCATTACCGCCACCTACTGGACTGGAGTAGAACTCCCTTATACTTTGCTTGAAAAAATAAAAAATACAACAAATACCCTCCCATCTAATACCACACTCACACAAAAATAATATACACTACCAGTCAAAAGCAAACTTCTCATTTGGTGTTGAGTATAGCTTAACCATGCATTAGATCGTAGGTTGGTAGTTAGTTGTAGTTAGGTATTGTATTTATTATAGGTTAGTATTGTTGTTATTGTAGGTTATTGTAGGTTAGTATCGAAGCACGAGGCTAGCTAGCTAGCGGGTAGCTACTGGTAACGATTAGCTGTTCCCACTGTTAAATGTGCTTCTAGCCAACGTTTAATTTTTGCTGCGTTCTGCGTTCTGCGTTGCTGCGTTCTGCGTTATGTAAGGAACTAGACACGGACATGAATCATCTGTTTAGTGTGCTAGTGTGCTAACACACTCTTGGCAGTTTGTTGTAACCAAGTATTGGTGCTAATTGTGTGTTAATGGATGCTAGCTTGCTAGTTAGCTACGGCGTCATAGCTAGGTATCGTGGGTAGCTACTGTGTCTTGGCAGTGTCTTCCGCCGTGCCGGCTGTAGCACGAAGCGAGCTAATTAGCCGTTTTTTCGAACAGAGTCAGAGTCAACACAGTAGCCATTGTGTGCCGGGTGTAGCACGAAGCTAGCTAGCTAGCCGTTCTTCAAACAAAGCCAACACAGTGGCCATTGCTAGCTACCCAGCACGACCGGCGAACGGTGCGGTAGTAGCTAATTACAATATACTTGTCCTAGCTAGCCAATGTTGAATCATTGCTGCGTCATGAAAGGAACTTGACACAGACACGAATGATCTGTTTAGTGTGTTATCACACTATTGGTGGTTTGCTGTGACCAAGTGTTTGTGCTTGGCTGTGTGTTACTGGATGCTAGCATGCTAGTCAGCTATGGTGTCATAGTTGGCTAGCTGAATAAAGTGGGTTTGAGTTTATTCCTTTAAACATTGAACAACTGTTCAGTGAAACAATTTTAGTTTCTGAGGTAGAAGTTTTTGGTGAGGGAGGCCCCCCTCTCTCCTCTCCCAGATGCTTAGCTCATTTCATTCCGATCTCCTCTGCATTTTTGTAGCCATTTGCTACAGCCTGTCAACTATGCCTCTGCCTATCCCTGTTCTCTCGTCTCTGCACAGGCTACACAAACAACGCACAACACCGCGCGGCTGCTGCCTCTCCAACCTGGTGGTCCCTGCTCGCACCCCTCACCTGGAGTTCCAGGTCGCAGGCAGCCTCTGGAACTGCCGTTCTGCTGCCAACAAAGCTGACTTCATCCCAGCCTATGCCAACCTCCAGTCCCTCGACTTCCTGGCGCTGACGGAAACATGGATCACCACTGAAAACACGGCTACTCCTACTGCTCTCTCCTCGTCTGACCATGTGTTCTCGCATACCCCGAGAGCATCTGGTCAGAGGGGTGGTGGTACAGGAATCCTCATCTCTCCCAAGTGGACATTCTCAATTTTTCCCCTAACCCATCTGTCTATCTCCTCATTTGAATTCCATGCTGTCACAGTCACTAACCCATTTAAGCTTAATATCCTTGTCATCTATCGCCCTCCAGGTTCCCTTGGAGAGTTCATCAACGAGCTTGACGCCTTGATAAGTTCCTTTCCTGAGGATGGCTCACCCCTCACAGTTTTGGGGGATTTCAACCTCCCTATGTCCACGTTTGACTCATTTCTCTCTGCCTCCTTCTTTCCACTCCTCTCCTCTTTTGACCTCACCCTCTCACCGTCCCCCCCTACTCACAAGGCAGGCAATACGCTTGACCTCATCTTCACTAGATGCTGCTCCTCTACTAATCTCACTGCAACTCCCCTCCAAGTCTCAGACCACTACTTTGTTTCCTTTTCTCTCTCGCTCTCCTCCCACACTACTCACTCTGCCCCTACACAGATGGTAATGCGCCGCCGCAACCTTCGCTCTCTCTCTCCCACTACTCTCTCCTCTTCCATCCTATCATCTCTTCCCTCTGCTCAATCCTTCTCCCTCCAATCTCCTGCCTCCTCAACCCTCCTCTCCTCCCTTTCTGCATCCTTTGACTCTCTGTGTCCCCTATCCTCCCGGCCGGCTCGGTCCTCCCCCCCAGCTCCGTGGCTTGATGACTCACTGCGAGCTCACAGAACAGAGCTCCGGGCAGCGGAGAGGAAATGGAAGAAAACTAAACTCCCTACCGACCTGGCATCTTTTCACTCCCTCCTCTCTACATTTTCTTCATCTGTTTCTGCTGCTAAGGCCACCTTCTACCACTCTAAATTCCAAGCATCTGCCTCTAACCCTAGGAAGCTCTTTGCCACATTTTCCTCCCTCCTGAATCCTCCTCCCCCCCCCCCCCCCCCTCCTCTCTCTCTGTGGATGACTTCGTCAACCACTTTGAAAAGAAGGTTGACGACATCCGATCCTCGTTTGTTAAGTCTAATAACACTGCTGGTCCTGCTCACACTGCCCTACCCTATGCTTTGACTTCTTTCTCCCCTCTCTCTCCAGATAAAATCCTGCGACTTGTGACTGCAGGCCGCCCAACAACCTGCCCGCTTGACCCCATCCCCTCCTCCCTTCTCCAGACCATCTCCGGTGACCTTCTCCCCTACCTCACCTCGCTGATCAACTCATCCTTGACCGCTGGCCATGTCCCTTCCGTCTTCAAGAGAGCGAGAGTTGCTCCCCTCCTCAAAAAACCAACACTCGACCCCACTGATGTCAACAACTACAGACCAGTATCCCTTCTTTCTTTTCTTTCCAAAACTATTGAGCGTGCCGTCTTTAGCCAACTCTCTTGCTATCTCTCTCAGAATGACCTTCTTGATCCAAACCAATCAGGTTTCAGGACTGGTCATTCAACTGAGACTGCTCTTCTCTGTGTCACGGAGACTCTCCGCACTGCTAAAGCTAACTCTCTCTCCTCTGCTCTTGTCCTTCTAGACCTGTCTGCTGCCTTTGATACTGTGAACCATCAGATCCTCCTCTCCACCCTCTCCGAGATGGGCATCTCCGGCGCGGCTCACTCCTGGATTGCGTCCTACCTGACCGGTCGCTCCTACCAAGTGGCGTGGCGGGAAGCTGTCTCCGCACCACGTGCTCTCACCACTGGTGTCCCCCAGGGATCGGTTCTGGGCCCTCTCCTTTTCTCCCTATACACCAAGTCACTTGGCTCTGTCATATCCTCACATGGTCTCTCCTATCATTGCTACGCTGACGATACACAACTAATCTTCTCCTTTCCCCCTTCTGATAACCAGGTGGCGAATCGCATCTCTGCATGTCTGGCAGACATATCAGTATGGATGACGGATCACCACCTCAAGCTGAACCCTGGCAAGACGGAGCTGCTCTTCCTCCCGGGGAAGGACTGCCCGTTCCATGATCTCGCCATCACGGTTGACAACTCCGCTGTGTCCTCCTCCCAGAGTGCGAAGAGCCTAGGCGTGACCCTGGACAACACCCTGTCGTTCTCCGCCAACATCAAGGCGGTGACCCGCTCCTGCAGGTTCATGCTCTACAACATTCGGAGAGTGCGACCCTGCCTTACACAGGAAGCGGCGCAGGTCCTGGTCCAGGCACTTGTCATCTCCCGTCTGGACTACTGCAACTCGCTGTTGGCTGGGCTCCCTGCCTGTGCCATTAAACCCCTACAACTCATCCAGAATGCCGCAGCCCGTCTGGTGTTCAACCTTCCCAAGTTCTCTCACGTCACCCCCCCTCCTCCGCACACTCCACTGGCTTCCAGTTGAAGCTCGCATCCGCTACAAGACCATGGTGCTTGCCTATGGAGCAGTGAGGGGAACGGCACCTCTGTACCTTCAGGCTCTGATCAGTCCCTACACCCAAACGAGGACATTGCGTTCATCCACCTCTGGCCTGCTGGCTCCCCTTCCTCTGCGGAAGCACAGCTCCCGCTCAGCCCAGTCAAAACTGTTCGCTGCTCTGGCACCCCAATGGTGGAACAAGCTTCCTCACGACGCCAGGACAGCGGAGTCACTCACCACCTTCCGGAGACATTTGAAACCCCACCTCTTTAAGGAATACCTGGGATAGGATAAAGTATTCCTTCTAACCCCCCCCCCCCCCCCCCCCAATTGTAAAGTGGTTATCCCACTGGCTATAGGGTGAACGCACCAATTTGTGAGTCGCTCTGGCTAAGAGCGTCTGCTAAATGACGTTAATGTGCCCTTGAGCAAGGCACTTAACCCTAATTGCTCCTGTAAGTCGCTCTGGTTAAGAGCGTCTGCTAAATGACTAAAATGTAAATGTAAATGTAAAAGTTTGGACACTCCTACTCATTCAAGGGTTTTTCTTTCTTTATTTTTATTTTTTTACATTGTAGAATAATAGTGAAGACATCAAAACTATGAAATAACAAATATGGAATCATGTAGTAACCTAAAAACGTGTTAAACAAATCAAAATATATTTTATATTTGAGATTCTTCAAATAGCCACCCTCTGCCTTGATGACAGCTTTGCATACTATTGGCTCATTCTCTCAACCAGATTCATGAGGTAGTCACCTGGAATACATTTCAATGAACTGGTGTGCCTTGTTAAAAGTTCATTTGTGGAATTTATTTCCTTCTTAATGCGTTTGAGCCAATCAGTTGTGTTGTGACAAGGTAGGGGGGTATACAGAAGATAGCCCTATTTGTTAAAAGACCAAGTCCATATTATAGCAAGAACAGCTCAAATAAGCAAAGAGAAACGACAGCCCATCATTACTTTAAGACATGAAGGTCAGTCAATACGGAAAATGTGAAGAACTTAAAAAATGTATTCAAGTGCAGTCGCAAAAACCATCAAGCGCTATGATGAAACTGGCTCTTATGAGGACCGCCACAGGAAAGGAAGACCCAGAGTTACCTCTGCTGCAGAGGATAAGTTCATTAGAGTTACCAG